TTTTTTTTTTTTTTTTGCACAAACTGTTACAACTGCAAAAACAAGATTTTCAGTGGTCAGGAAGGCTCAATGAGTTGGGTTGTTACAATGAACATGTGTATTGAATATGTTGATGTAGCTGTTTGTTATTTGGATAACTCCAGCTGCTGTTATCACACACACACACATCCATACAACTGTGTGAGATACAATATAGGGAAAGTTGTTAGAACTTACCAGAGTAATTCATCTCTTATACTTTTTTTTCTTCCTTTCTGTCTTTCGGTCTCTCTTTGCATATCAGTAATAAAAGCGAGAAGACTGCTGACTTTTCCCACGTATTTATCAGCTTATTGTTTCTGTGAAATATAGCCAGGTGCAAAGACTTTGATGAGACTCTGGCATGAACAAGCTGGCCCAGGGGATATGATGGAGATTTGACAGGTATACCCAGTACCAGATCCTATGAAAATGAATATACTTGGTATGTGAGATACTATATTGAGGTTTAGCATGAAAGCATTGGGTTTTGGGAAGAAGGGAACTTTTTTTTTTTTTTACACAAAGCCTTCATGGGATGATTGGTTACACCAAGTGGTTACTGAGGACAGGTGGGGTATGACTTCTTGGCAAGGAGAAGGGAGACTTTCTTAGCGGCCTCCAGTGAACTTGAGAAAATGAATGAAAGTGGATTAAATAAGCACAAGTTGGTCGAAGACAGGTTATAAAGATTTGGAACATCTTTCTGAGAGGATCGCGAAACATGAGAGCAGCGGGAGCCATCTGGATAATGCTGTGAAACTGGGTTTACTCTCCATTGAGCAGCATTCAGCCAAGTGGAGGAAAACAGGTATGTGCTTAGTCGGATCATAACAGTACTGCAGTATTTATACTGTAAGGTATTAATAATAATAATTTGAATGTTAACGTTGTATGACGCATCAACACTTTGAACTATTTGGTACGGCACATACAGTTGTGTGAAAAAGTGTTTGCCCCTTTCCTGATTTCTTATTTTTTTGCATGTTTGTCACACTTAAATGTTTCAGATCATCAAACAAATTTAAATATTAGACAAAGATAACACAAGTAAACACAAAATGCAGTTTTTAAATGAAGGTTTTATTATTAAAGGGAAAAAAAAATCCAAACCTACATGGCCCTGTGTGAAAAAGTGATTGCCCCCCCCTGTTAAAACATAAATTAACTGTGGTTTATCACATCTTTGGAAAGCTGAGTTCAATTTCTCTAGCCATACCCAGGCCTGATTACTGCCACACCTGTTCTCAATCAAGAAATCACTTAAATAGGACCTGCCTGACAAAGACTCCAGCGAACCACAGTGAGAGCCATTATCCACAAATGGCGAAAACATGGAACAGTGGTGAACCTTCCCAGGAGTGGCCGGCCGACCAAAATTACCCCAAGAGCGCAGCGACGACTCATCCAAGAGCTCACAAAAGACCCCAGAACAACATTCAAAGAACTGCAGGCCTCATTTGCCTCAATTAAGGTCAGTGTTCATGACTCCACCATAAGAAAGAGACTGGGCAAAAATGGCCTGCATGGCAGAGTTCCAAGACGAAAACCACTGCTGAGCAAAAAGAACATAAAGGCTCGTCTCAGTTTTGCCAGAAAACATCTTGATGATCCCCAAGACTTTTGGAAAATACTCTGTGGACTGACGAGACAAAAGTTGAACTTTTTGGAAGGTGTATGTCCCATTACATCTGGCGTAAAAGTAACACGGCATTTCAGAAAAGGAACATCATACCAACAGTAAAATATGGTGGTGGTAGTGTGATGGTCTGGGGCTGTTTTGTTGCTTCAGGACCTGGAAGACTTCCTGTGGTAAATGGAACCATGAATTCTGCTGTCTACCAAAAAATCCTGAAGGAGAATGTCCGGCCATCTGTTCGTGACCTCAAGCTGAAGCGCACTTGGGTTCTGCAGCAGGACAATGATCCAAAACACACCAGCAAGTCCACCTCTGAATGGCTTAAGAAAAACAAAATGAAGACTTTGGAGTGGCCTAGTCAAAGTCCCGACCTGAATCCGATTGAGATGCTGTGGCATGACCTTAAAAAGGCGGTTCATGCTCGAAAACCCTCCAATGTGGCTGAATTACAACAATTCTGCAAAGATGAGTGGGCCAAAATTCCTCTACAGCGCTGTAAAAGACTCATTGCCAGTTATCGCAAACGCTTGATTGCAGATGTTGCTGCTAAGGGTGGCCCAACCAGTTATTAGGTTTAGGGGGCAATCACTTTTTCACACAGGGCCATGTATGTTTGGATTTTTTTTCCCCTTAATAATAATAACCTTCATTTAAAAACTGCATTTTGTGCTTACTTGTGTTATCTTTGTCTAATATTTAAATTTGTTTGATGATCTGAAACATTTAAGTGTGACAAACGTGCAAAGAAATCAGGAAGGGGGCAAACACTTTTTCACACAACTGTAGGTATAGAAAACCATAGAATATTGCATTCTGAATTCAGACTTGTAGTTTTGTAACTTGTGAAATTGCTCACTCACTCTTTTTTCTCTCTCTGTGTATTTGTATAAGGCCATTTATTTTACATATAAAAACTCCATTGGTTACACCACACCCTTGGGCAGCACTTTTGGGGCAAACAACACTTCACCACTGACCCAAATCAACCCCAGTAAACACCTTTTAGAACAATCAAATCCATGGGTTTTATCAGAAGTCCCCACACCAGAGCCTCTCTCTTCTGGAGCTGGCACAAGAGCTTTTAAGCACTTCCTGCCCAGGCCAGGTGCACCTCGTTGAGCAATGCAGCACACCTGAGCAGAGCTACTACAGAGGGAAAAGGTACAGCGCAGACACACACACACAGCTTTAACAGCTTGCCAGAATCCAAACTCTGCAAGAACACAATTGTCCTTTGTGTGATTCTCCTCAAATTCCCATTTACATGTTTACATATTTTGTTGATAAATGGAATGTAGGCAGGAGTTTCTATCAAAATGAACCCCTGGCATAGAAGACCAGAGCTCATTTGATTTGATATACAGTATGCACTGAAGGACGGTGGCCCAGTTCTGGTCTGTGTGTACTGAGGTATGCTTGGAAATAAACCGAAGCCTTTACATAGCAGTGCAAAATACTGCTTTGCACTGCATAATGATGGAAGTCTCCTTTTGGGAACATGACATCATTATCAGAGACACAGCTGAGTGACCGGAGCGATGGCTGTGGTCTTGTTTTCCGCTTAGCTCTTAACTGTGGACACGGCTGGTTCATTCTCTTAACTCTGTTCTCTTGTAAATGCACATTATTCTAAAAAGAGTAATTAAAAAATATTTTTTTCAATCTGCTGAGAAGAGAAGTCGCCGTCATGTTGCTCACCCTACCCCATCTGACCCAATGTTGTCCCTGGTGCCCTCGTGTAATCTGATTACATCCCACCCTCTCCCAAAAAGAGAAGTATTAGTGACAAACTATACTAAAGTGTAACAAGAACGTAACAGGATCCACATTCATGCAACAATCTAAAAGAGAACTTTATTGTATCAGTACAAAAGCATTTCCCCTCAACCTACATACTTTCTACCAAGAGGCTAACAGTCCAGTTTAGCACCCAATCAAGGAGTCATACACAATGTACACTACAATAGGCATAAGCCATAACAATTTAAAGACAGATAGTTAATGTTGTCACTTGTTAACACATCTGATATTTTAAGGCATCAAATTAGAAGGCTACAATGATTCCTCTAATAACATTTAGTTCATATAAAGGCCAAATTATCAAGTTTGCTAGCTGATGACATATCAAAATAATTGTAAGCTTCTTTAAGAGTTGCTGGTTTGGTCTTAAACAGGGCAAAATCAGTGTATATAAAAAGACAGCAGCTTTATTATGGCTGCTTCTAGATAGCCCTGATGAAGTGAAGAATGTTGTGGGAAAGATTTAGCTTCACCATGTGTCAGCTCTGAACAACAGAGTTGACGTAGTCTACATGGATGGCATCCCTTCACTTACTTAAAATGCTCAATATATTTCAACGTGTCATTTTTTAAAGTTGAAGATTGAAATTTGTATTTCCCAATTTCCTGACAATTTTCCTGAACTCAAATGTTAATCGTGAAAGTGAAAGGTTTTGGACGGAGGAAATGCAAAGAAATTGGTTATTGTGAGCACACGTCTGTCTAAACATATATATATATATCTACAATGTAAAAACTTCTATAAAACTACATTAGTATGAAGCATACAATACTGTTCAATCTGGAGTGCTATAGACTCTAAGATCCAAATGTTCATCTCCTAAAAGAATTAATGTAATTCTGTGTTTCTGAAGTTGTGTTTCTCCACTCGAAACACAATCATTCTCTATAATATAATACAATCACATGATAATGTTAAGAGAGGGGGCTTTATTCACAAACATGCAGCTAATTTGGGAGATAACCCAACAGCTGTGAAGGTGGTTTGTAAAACAAAAAAATTGTGGCTGGAAGGAAAAATGCTGGAATGTGTCTGTATTTACAGAATGTGCAAGTGTGTAGCTCTCTAACACAATCAGTGAATGGTTTTGGTTTTGTCATTGGTTTTGTCATTAGTGGTGACATCGGTGAGTTGGACATTCTCCTCCTCGAGGCCTTTGCGGTCACGCACTTCTCCCTCCACATGGAAGCCAACCATCATCTGGTAGATGATCACACCGATGATGGTGCCAAGGAATGGGGCAAAAACAGGCACCAGGAACCAGCCTTTTCTAACCCTGAGGAGTGACAAAAAAAAGAGTTGAGTTTTTTTCTTTGTCTAAAGGGGACAAGGATAGTGAGTACTGTGAGTGTTCACATAGAGATAAACAGTGGATGCAGAAAATACTTTAAAATCTCTGCACTTACGTGAAAACTTCGCCGCCCCACCCAGCAATAGCGGTGAAAAGACGTGGTCCGAGGTCTCTGGCAGGATTGACAGCATAGCCAGAGTTAAAGCCCATAGACAATCCAATGACCAGAACCACAAATCCCACAGTAAAGGCCTCCAGTCCTTGGGGGATGGGGTTGTTGTATGGATCCATAATAGCCAGAATACACACAATCAGCGCTGCTGTGCCAATGATCTGTGTTGGAGAGAGGTACACGTACGAGATAATCGTGAGTTGGACACCTGTGTTGTATGACCTATATTTTAAAATGTTTAGAGTATGACAGCTGTTTTCATTTCAAAGGGGTACCTGGTCAAAGAATCCATTGACAATAGTGAGATGTTTTCCAGGGTACGTAGCAAAAATGCCAGCTGTGGCATTGGGCCCAGTCACATTGAAAGCTCCAGGAAAGTCCCACAGGGCATCTAAAGGGATACAAGCAACAAAATATAGCATGAAATATTTTCTTGTTTAGACAGGTTGTCTAAATAACGCACGTAGACTGTGTGAAGCCTAAAACACAAATCTGTTCATATATGGTTGTAACAACATCAATTTTTGACATGTGGCTCCACATCTGGAGTCATCCCTTACCGTAGTACATGCCGAAAATGATAGCAGCACCGAAAAAACCACCGATTGTCTGAAAGAGGAAGTACACGGGGAACTTCCTCCAGCGCTCTCTTCCGAGCAGGCATAGGGCAAAGGTCACTGCAGGGTTCAGATGGCCACCTGCAAATGTACATGGTGACAGTATGTCAGTACATATTATAGACCATGAAGTGCAACAACATTAACGAAATACACATTCAGACTCCAGATGTACACAAGGTACAAAGCTGGTGAAAATGTGCTCCTGCATATTGAATTTGTCTGAGAAACGTTGTGTACCTGATGTCTGGCCACAGACCAGGATGCCTAACATGGCAGCGAAGCCAAAGGCAAAGTTGACTGTGAGGAACATGCCATGGGAACCACCACTCAACACCAGCTGGGCCACAGCACCGCAACCGAACATCTGAAGAGAGAGAATAAATGCAAGTTTACACGGGGTCTCGACTACATTTTGTGCACATAACAAAAGAAAATCTGATTCCTTATTGGATGAGGGAGTAGAGGAAAATAGGTGTTCACGGGCACATGACTGATTCTGTCAAAAGAAGGATTTACAGAACGTGTTGCCTTTAAATGTAGGAGCGTACTGCCAAGCAGGTGCCATACTGTTTATTCTGCATCCTGTGTCATTATGTGTGTGTGTGTGTGTGTGTGTGTGTGTGTTCATTTCCTCTTCCTATGTGTTGGGTTTAGGAACATGTGTGGTCCATGCATAGACTGATGCTCTTTAAAGCCCCCTGATGAGGATGCTTTTCAGCTAGACCACAGGACTCAGATGTTGAGGTTAGCTTGGGGGAACCACACTCAGAGGGACTGGCGCCTGAGGGGAGTTCATCATCAGTGGGCTCAGTCTAAACTCTTTTCCACTCCTGATGAAGCCAACCGTGACTGGAAAAAGTCTACATAAAACCCCCATTACTTAAGTGGAAGGAATCCGCCCCTCTTACCCTCTCAAGCTCGATTAGAGACATTATGTCTAGAGAAGACCCCGTTAACCCATTAACCACTAACCGGGGAATGGACAGTCAATTTTGCAAAGTGTGATGCACCTTCATATTTGATTTATTTGATTTGATTTATTCATTCATTTCTCTTTTCCTATCCTATATATACATTTTCTGTGTCCATTATTTCTCTACTTACTATTTCTGTTACTAATAAGGTATATTATAGATATTTTCTTTGTATTCCTGTCTGTAATTTTAACTTTACCACCCATATCTTAGAATATATGTGGTTGTATGTGTGTTGTTTATTGTTTTAGCAGATGGATGTGTTGTGATACGGGTGAGTTCAGGAAAACAAAAATCCTTTTCCTGTACAGTCACCGTTTTATTCGATATTGAGAATCAATAAAAAGGCCCTTGAAAGACAAAAAAGCTAGACTAGAAATGTCTCATTTAAATCTGACACTGAATCTGGGAGCAATAATTCTGACATGCTCATATTCACTAGTGACTGCGTGTTCACTCTGATGAAGACTTCCAGCCACTTGGTATGTTGCTGTCATTATGTTGTAGTTAGTTAACTAGCCCTACAACACCTCCTCAAACAACATTCAATTGACTGATTCAGCAGGTTAGGCATCCATGCAGCTACTCCCAACTTTTAGCACAGTGAGCCTACTGAAACACACATGTGGCTGTTGTTTAGGAGCTGAAGGCATAAGAATATGCTGGCCTGGAACCAGTCTCTGAATCACTACCTGTATGATGTTTTCAAATTCAGGATGAAGAGCCTCAGAAGCCCCCCCCCCCTAAGGCTACTCAGAGCAGGGAACAGTGTTTTGAAGAGGAAAATGAAGTGCACCGTTGTGAGAGTGCAATGAGGGGTTAACAAAACAGTTACAGGAGGATAACCAAAGACATTCGCTGCCTGCAGGTGACCCTCAAGGACTGACTGATCCGTATCAAATACTATACATTCCACTTTGTCCACTTTGAATGTGAAATGCGAAAACAATACAAAGAGTTACACACACCCTCACCCTCACGTCATCTATCCCTCCAGGCCATCATACACTTGTAGCCAATGACGTATAACAAGTTTGACATGTTTAGTTTATCACTAGGATAAAATGTATTGACAGGCTGATACCTGGAGAGAGAAAGTGGTTGACAAATATAATGACAAAGCAAGAGAGACTTCTGCATTTTGTCACAGAGGAAGGAAAACTACGTCAGTCATGTCAGTCATGTGATGCCTATTGTTCTGCCACTGACTCTCCCAGTGCTGCCATCGGCATGTGTCACCAAATAATCAGCCGCCGCACCTTTCTGTCCCATCAGCAGTTATACCCGATGCTGAACTATGAAATATTTAAAATCCTAGGCTCTTATGTAAGTAGTAGTGATTTCTTTCTTTCTTTTTTTACATTGACTTGGATTATGCATCAGAACACAATGTTCTTTTCAAACAAAAGTAATGTGCTTCTACGCCTTTATAACTGGCTTTGTTAATCACTGAAAATGAGTCACTAAGCACTGGGAATGTTAAACCATTACAGGAGCCTTTAACCCACTAAACTGGTTGTTGGACTAGTATTTAAAACAAATTTAAAACAAATTTCAATCCAATTGCCAAGTTTCTGCCAAGACAGGGTTAACATAAAATACTTTTTACAGTACAGTAGGCATTGTTAGTACATCAGGACAGCATCTGGATCTATTTTACTCAAGGAACAAAAGAAGTGTCTGTTTCTCTTGCGATGCAGAAATGTTCATTTTAAGCTGAAACAGCATTTATGACAGGGGCAAAGTGGGATGATGAGTTACTATTTCAGATTTGCCCTTTGAGTGTTGTAAAGCGTCTGTTGGAAAAGAGGACTAACGTAAGTGATGTTTAAAAGTGCAGCATGTAGTTTAATGCGATACGAAGCTATCCGTACTCGTGCACACAAACGCCTAACACACTGTAAAGTGATCACAAGAGGTCCTGAGGTTTTGGCTCCTGGATCCTGGATCCCAGCTTCCAAGAAAATATTGGCGTTTTATCTTATATATGGTTTTGTTCACAGAGCATGATGTCCTGAACGTAACAACCTGTCACTTACCTGTTTGTTGTGAACTCAGTAACCCTACATTCACACTCTTTATCAAATACAAACAGTGTCCTTTTGCTCGCTTTCAAGCACATGAATGATTTATAAATGACAAGCAGTTTCTGCAATCACTTCTCAAACATGGCAACAAAAAAATTGATAGAATAGAAATGCAGTCATATAGAGTGTAATTGATCACAAGCAAATTGAATAGTGAGGGTACAAGTAAACGCTGTGAGACGGGACAGAGTTCAACTATTAACAGCATGCAATATATTTAACAGTATGACCATTTTAAACTCTTCATTTAAAGCTTGGAAGCTTTAGAAAAAAAACAGAAAAAAAACGATCTACTTCAGCATGAGATGATGCAATATAAGTTCCATGCATATAAACACACTTGTACACTCACGCACTTACCACAAGGATGAGAGTGCCAAGACACTCTGCCAGGGCCTGGCGAAGCAGCAGGTTACGGATCTGGAAGAACCGGGACAGTTTGTCCAAATACACCTTCTGTCTGCTCATGTTTTCTTGCAAAAGGCTGATTGATAAGACTATGAGAAGACAGGTACGGTAGGTAGTGTTTCCTGAGTAGCTGTGAAGCTGGGAGGAACGGGCTCCTCTTATGGAGCCATGATGGACTTGGATTGGGCCGGTGCCCAGCCTGAGCACGGCCACACCCTCTGAACCACGCCTCCCTGCTTCTCACAAAGTGATTCAGCCTTTGGATTTCTCACTGGTCAACTTTCTACCTCTCACTCTTACTCTCCTTCAAACACACGCACGTACACACACTTTACATTGTTATACCTGTGAGCTCCTTCATTGACCTCATGCATACCTGCAACCCGATACTTCAACCTCCTCAACACATGCCTAACAATTAGCATAGCTTTGCAAAATAGAATCCAGTGATCACATATGTTCATTGAAAAGTTCAGCCAAAACTCAAACTCCTGCACAAATAATACAAATGGCTTTGAGATCTGGTCATTACAGGAACATGTTTCTTCTTCTTTCTCCCTCAGATTTAAACTTGGAAAAGGCGACTATATAATAAGTGTGAGAAAGTTTCTTTGCATTCGAAGAACTGTATGTATCGTGTGCTTTGGATTTTGTTTGAATGTAATTACTGTAAGAGCACATTTCCCTGTGCTGTTATTTTGCATACTTATTAAGGAAATGCCTGGTTTACAGTGTAAACGTAAGTGTTGCCTGCCCTGATGTCATTACTGTCTCAGATTATGCAAATAAATCACATCTGGGAAAAAAAACACCTTAAAGATAGAAAGGATAAATCATGTGAACACTTTGTGTAGCCTCTACCCACCTTAATCCACCAAAATGAAAATGTCTTACACAAACATATTTGTTGAATCTACTTTGGACCCAACATGACTTAACTGGTTCATTCTCTCTCATTCTCTCTCTCCTTTTCTGTCTCTCAGCTCGTTTTCTCTGACCTGCTCTTTTGTCCCCCGTCTGAAACTTCATCACCATATATTATAGCCTCTTTGTCTGGTTTCAATAGAGGTGTGAGAACATTTCCAGTTTTAAAAGCCCAGACATGCCTCTATCAGTAGGAATCAGTGTACCATTTCTTTACTCTGTTTGGAGTTATTTTGCTCTGCTAAGGCCAATATTATTGTGATGGTGGTGCACACTATCAACTTGGATCATCTGAACGTTAAACTTGTGTGCACATATCAGAGAGAATACTTGCTGCAGAGAACTTAAACACGCTTCACACATTCAAAATTGCACAAAGATGCGCAACCATGTTAAATCCATCAAAACAGACAGTGGCCTGTTTCCGGGAGAGTTGGCAGCCACAATGTTGCGTGCATTGTCGGGAACACATGCAGCCGCTTCAGACTCCACCACATCTATTAGTTCAGGGCAACCGTGGCTAAGTGGAGCGCAAGACCGTCCTTCAATCAGAGGATTGGCAGTTCGATCCCGGGCAAGACACTTGTGTGATAGAATAGGATCTGAATTGTAAGTTGCTTTGGATAAAAGTGTCTGCTAAATGGCTGTGAGGTAGTCAGCTGTGTGTCTGACTGGCATAGTCATAGAGAGACAGAGATGTCTTTACTTGATAGCCAGCTGATGCTGGGATGACCTTTCAGGTGGACCAGCGCTATTCTCCTTAAAGTGACAAGCCGCTCCTCTGAGTTTTGCTCAGTTATATATTTTTAATATTTCTTTAAAATGATTAACTGATGGCATGCCTAAACGATTAATTATTAACACCCATCCATTCGGCAAAGAACTTTGCTCTGTTTGTACCAGGAAAACATAGAGTTGAATAGTAAAATGTCAGCAACAAAGTTATCGTTTGAACTGTAATGGTACTATTACTCGACATTGTGAGGAATTTAAGTTTAAAAGCATTCCTAGTATGTTTAATAGCACCCTAGTGGTGGATATTATATGTCAATATTTACTTATGGAAGTTTTAAACCATGGAGTGTGGTCATTGAATATATTGAGCGTCTGTGAGGGGCGTATCCAGGTCACGACCATATAAAGTGGTGAGTGAGGTGTGTGCTAAGAGCGGGGGATGGACGAAAGCTGGCTGCAAGGAAGGGTGTCTGACCAGAACAACAGGTCAAAGGCCAAGGAGGAGCTTATTGGATTTCAGCCAATCATTGAGCTGATCGATGGGCTAAGGAATGTGTAATATGAGACATTTCAGAGACTTTGGAGGGACAAAGGAACTGTGAATCCCCGGAGATAATCAGACCTCCTCCGGACCATGGGGCAGATACACCAGTCTGTCGTAAATAACACATTATGTGAATATATGTGAAAATATTCCACTTGACTGCCATACAGAGTGTATCTCAACGACCACATTGCTAAAACAGTGGTTGGGAAAGTAAAAGATACAGTATGTGATATGTTTCACCCATACTGTATATAAGAATACTGAAAGGGCAATGTGAGTCATGTCAATCACAGCGCCGGCGTCAAAGCTACATGAGTCAGGCATGTTGCACAACTGTTCACAGCGAACTGTTTCAGTGTGACGCCCATGAAGAAGGGATGGACAGAAGGAGATGACAGGTTTATATGGAGGACATCTTCATCACACAGAATACATGTGATCCAAGTCGACACAAGTAATGTGAATATTAAATATTTTACAGAAGAATTAGATGAAACTTTATGGTACTTTTGAGTTTCTTAGTATGGCAGGGGTGATCACTGATATATATGATTTGATATATTTGTACTGGCATATTTGTTGTAAACATCTTTACCTGACCAGAGCGGCCAGCCATCTTCTACAAAGAGATTTAGGAGTGTGTTTGCATATATTTGTACTTTGCTTTCCTCTTTCCGATTGAGTTTACCTTCATAACCCCGAGGTCCTTAGATGATGGCACTGATCACTGATTTTGTTTCTCGTGTTTGTGATTGATGGCCATATGCACCAGATGTGTTTGTTTCCAGTAAGAGTGCCGATGTGTCAGCAGTTTACCATTAGGTGCAGACAGGTGAAGAAATATTGATACCTCTCATAAAGATGGCACAGGTTGTCACACTGCCTCGAGGCAGACAGAGATGACGTTAGCAACAACTACACGCTGTAATTAACAAGGCTGTTAAACTTCCCTGCAGGTCAAGAGTCCTAGATGTTGCGCAGGAAACGCTCTCATTTCTATGATCTCTTAAGCCAAAGTAGTGTTTTTTTTAAATAAGTTAGTCCTCCATTTAGACTTTTAGGTTCATAGTTTTCAAAGAACAATAAGGCCCATGGGATCAGTCTAAATTGTGTAAAAAGAGAAATGCAGTCATGTCAGGTCATGATATCTGACTATTACACAAATTCCCAGCACCAGATTTCCGTGTTATTTTGCAGAAATATGTATCTGCTCTCAGATCGAGTTCCTCTGTAAAATCTTGGCATTGTTAGGTGAAACTCTCCAGTGTGGTGCAAACAAGATCAGAGATAGATGATTATGCAATATATGTGACATGCATCTTAGCGATCACCGCTTTGTCAAGATTACACAATATGATACACGTTGTTTAACTGAATCTTGTGTGCGATGCATTAAAGCCTGGCTCTGGTACATTTCCACTTTCTTCACTTTCTCTATAATTACGCTGGATTGCAACCAAAACAACATGCTTTCTCTGTCAACAGCTGCAGACATGCACATCCTATGACACAGCCGAATGTGTCAGCTCGGCAATTAAGAACTTTTATACGTCTACATTTACGATGACGGGACAAACAGGCTGCGAACCTATGCTGTAAAACCAGATGGATGATATTTTTCTACATTTATTAATGCCTTAGACTCGATATAGTCTTTAACAACCTGCCTTTTTATTATTTTCAGGAATGAAATCACTCCCATCTTTGAACTCATTTTCTAACAAATTATGTATTCAAAATAAAAACTAGAAAACAGCAATACCGTCTTGCATTTTGATTTGTCCAAACCATTTGCATGCATGTTACTATTGTGCTACATAATGTTACAGTGACAAGTATCTCACATTTTATACAGCGCTAATCACAACCCTCAGCTGCATCTCAGATTTGACTGCCCTTCCAGTAACCGGTGGAAGCTCATCTGAAATCTTCGACGACTCTTACAGAGAGCGAGTTTGTCACACAACAAGCAGCCTCAAGCACTGTACACATTTAATTAAAACAAGCCTGCCTGCATCCAGGTTATTACCGATCATAACACACAGGTCCATTTATATTTATTACTATCAAAGGACTAATGAGTACAGGCAGTTGTATATACACAAGTCCATACAATTCTGTGCTTAAACATCACAGAAAAACCTATTGTTGCATCACCTGACTGTTGATCGTCACGAAAAGCTCACATTCACCCGTTTTTAATGAACAGAAATGACAAGTACATACATGAACTGTGGGTGGTGAACTCAAAGCCCTGTCGATCAAATGATGATTCAAAAGTGATTCAGTTTCCTGGTAAATCAGTGTGTGGTCCCAGAGCTGTATGTTGGAGACAGTGGAGCGATACTGGCTGTGACTTGTGAAGCAATCTTTGGTTTTTTACACCAAAATCACATTTTATACCAAATTTCTTAAGAGACAGCATTGCTTGGGTGAAAGTAAATGAACTGGTACTATAAATAATTGCGACACCATCATGCCGATATGTGCAACTAACAAGTCATAGAGAAGAGAGATGCAGCATTTAACATGTTTGTCAGATTCTTGGTGTTCAGTTTATGTGAATTCATATTTAGTAGACTTCAGACACAACAGTATACTTTGCTGTTCGTCTAGTGTTTTTCTGTATTCAAGGGGCTATGAGTGCAAGCTGTGATGCCCGGTCTAGTGTTTCCGTGATTAGAGATTATTATTTTGCGTCAATTACTAAGAACTTAAATTCAGTTTTCCTAGAAATGAGAGGCAGCCAGACAATCCCTTTCCACAAATCCATTGGAAGCAAACCGTCTGGCACGTCTCTGATGATTACCTACCTCAACTGTGTTCAACTGGCAGCCCTGTGTTTGTTTGAGTAATGTGTCAGAGAAACCGTTGACACTTTTCATTGCATCTCTGCATCAACAGCAATGATAAAAGGATAGTGACGGCCATTTCAGTGTCCTGCTTTGTTTTTAACCACCCGTTTCAAGATGAATGGATTTAAACAAATCTGATACATATAGCTGCAACTAATGGTTACCATTTCCCGAAGCTTAAGCTGAAGCCTTCAAATTGCTTGTCTTGTCCAACCAACAGCCCAGGTCTAAACATATTCAGTTTGCTACCATAGAAAACAATCTTCACATTTGAGAAATTTAGTTTGTTAATAAACTATTAACCTATTATCAGATTTGTTGGTGATGAATTTTCTAAATAATCAGTTCAGCTCTCCGGTAACAGCAAGACTGAATTCTGAATTTAAAGATGTTGATTTGTAAATGTACATTAAAAGTCCCAGTCCCTAATATTATAATAATTATCTACTAAATATTTAATTTTCTCAATTGTATCCACTGATAGAAGGAATCATATACAAAAAAAAAAATCAAATCAAAAGAGTAAATATCCATTTATTAGACATGATGCAGCTTCGCCAAAACAATCATATGGCTCATCTTTAACCACATTATTAACTGATAATATTGTTAACAAAATTCATCTGAAAATCCATTTAGTTTTTCCGTTGTTCTGTTTTCCATTGGAATGCACCTGGTGAAAACAGTGTGTCTAAAATGACCATTTTTCAGTCCTGGCTTCCACTGACTTGATCAAGCCCTTCCCCATGACCCGGAAGTCCTCCAGTATTGCTTCCACATTGGGGATGGTATTTGCTTCCTCCCCAGTCACCGCCACTCTCCGAGCAGACATTTGTGACGTCTGCCATGAAGGGAAACGGAAAAAATCAGGTCAGAGTGATGGAAGTGAAGGAGACACATGATACATCGAAGCAAGCTGTTGGCAATCCAAAGGGCTTCTGACCTACATTCATGAGTTTTATTAGAAGACATAACTTAGGCCTTACCTTAAAGGGCATTGGTATGAAGGCCTTTGGCTTCCATAAAACTGCAATCACTGTTCCGCCATGGGGGTCACAGAAGAAGAGGGCTAGGTCTCCGAAAGCATCCTGAAAATGAATTAGATTAGTAGATGATCAAAACTTTGTTCACTTTCTCTCTATGCCGAGAATCAAGTCAGAATATTTGGGGATTAAAGTCATAAAAGTTCAAGAAAAATTCTACTGACCCTATAAAAACACTTTTGATCAGGCATAAATGTCACCATCGTGTCGGTTATTTTCAACATAAAATATTAACTTCACCGCCTCTGATAAAGGGCAGGCTAGATCTACTTTATCATAGACATCCAAAGCAGCAGTTCAAACCCGACTTTATGCTACAGATACTTGTGGTCAGCTGTGGAGCGCACTGCAGCTGAGGAAATTATCATCATCAGTTATAGATATTCAAGGAAACATCAAATAACACTGAAGAACGGCACAACAGAGCATCAGTAGTTTCCAATGACATCTTCTCATACTGTGCACATGAATAGTTTGTCACCATATCATGTTTGTTCTGCTGTTCTTCTCTCGTTGGATTATGTCAACGAGGTAACTCAAATATTGGCAGGGACCATTCCGTCCTCCCAAAATCATGGTGAGGACGTGTCCCTACTGTGCATATTCAAACCTATGCCCTTGAATTCATTCCAGGAAAAACCTGCTTTGTGGGCGATGCAAGTACAGTCTGGAAATGTTTCTTCCCTGAATGTTGTATTCTCAGGAGCTGCTGGACATCAGACAGAATATACCTCGGAACAGAGCAGCCAAGCTGCAACTTGCATGCGCAAATCCTGCTGCACAGCTTTCCTCACATCCTGTATCAACACGACGTTATTAACACCACGCCTGCCTTTTAACCTGAAGTTTATGCTCGACACACTCACTCTGAGCTCTGCCAGGTAGAGGGACACGGGGTTGTAGTCGATGACAGGCAGGGCCCCTCCAGACTGGGCCACAATGCCACCCATGAGGCCCCTGCTGAAGGTGACAGTGGGCGGGTCCACTGCCTGAGGGAGCAGGGGAACCTGCTTTGGGTTCAGGTGAATCAACACATCGTAGGCATCCAGAGGAGGACGCATGACCACCTGCACGAAACACAGACAACGTGTCACAAGGCTGAAGTACTAAATCACAATTCATTCAGATAGTGGACCATTTATGAAGACAATAGCAAACGAGAGTTTAAGTGCTTTTCACTAACCCTGACATCTTGTATCTGCTCTCTGTCCATCAGCTGCTGTTCCAGTAACTTCAGACTCTCTGCAGCCACCATCACCACACGCTGCAGCATCTGAAGACACACAACCAGAATAGAACATTTGATGGTTAAACACGGTAGCTTTGGACATTGCGTTTCATCTGAAAATATATTCAGACATGTCATATAATATAATATATAGACCCCCATTGTGGTTGTACAAATTGATCAATTAGCACTAAAATTTCAAATGACCAACAATTGTAGACACAAAAAGACATCAACGATATATATATATATATATATATATATATATGGGTCAGTGCCATGACATGCATATTTTTGTGTCCGAGTCCACCATTTCCTTTTAAAATAATTGTATCAATTCGTGACATATATCATTTCATTCTATAAAACCGATCCAGTTTTGATACATTTTCAGTACAATCAAATAATATATATTATTTTATGTTTTGGCATCTCAAACCCTGAAAATGTCAGGCGGTGCACCTGTCCTAGCAGATGAACAGTCTAAGAAAACTATTAAAAAATGTATTGAAATGATAATAAATTCAAAATAAAATACTATGGCATGCTTTTATTGTTGTAACGATTCAAATAAACCAAATTTTTACAAATACCAATAGTTTTAAGCTGTTGCGATAATTTAAAAACTTTTGTCCATCAATTTGAATGTTCTCAAATATCAGGGTGGCACAGCTGTAAAGATGGGACTTTTATTATAAAATTAAAGTGGAAAACAGTAAACAGGTTACTGCATCATGAAGAGGACCTCGACTGACCTTTATATCAGAGTGAAAATGTTTTTATATCTCTTTTGAATATTGATAAAAACAGCTGCTTTCAACTTATAGGTAGAGTGGTTCACTTTCCATGTCAGGGTGGTACAACCAATGTAAAACTAGAAAAATGTTATTTTATCATAAATGTCTTTATTCTATTTAAAATGTATATGTATGAAGTAGTTAGCAAGAACAAAAGCTAATGCTAGTGTCCTAGTAAATGCCTGTTTAATTTGAAATCAGTTGCAAATGTCAGGTGGCGCAACCAGTAAGGCAGGTGGTGCAACTGCAGAGAATGTCACTCTATGATATTATATTTAAAGCTCTAATATTATATTTTAAAAAAATTCTAAAGTTTAACAGTGTTAAGTTTATATATATATATATATATATATATATAATATATACTGTATTTGTTTCAGCTCGTCTGGTGTTTTTTGCATTAGTGCAACAGGGTCAATTACATTTACAGCTGGAACAATGCACACAGGTAGTAGGAGGTCATGCGTCAGTAATTATGGATCAAAGAAGTAAATGAATGTGTGTTCTGGGTTAAACTGAATACTGGTAACCAAACACACACACATTGTGTGTGTGTGTTTAGAGCAGGGGTGTCAAACTCAAGGCCCGCGGGAGCGCCACGTCATTTTATGTGGCCCGCGAATCTGCCAGCAAAAAAAAAAAATAAAAAAAAAATAAATAAAAAAGTTTTAAAGTTAGACTGGATATTAAAAAGATTCCCATAGTCAAAATTATGAGATAGAAAGTCAAAATTACAAGATAATTAAACACAATAGTCATAGAAGCAGCTCTTTGGCTGGTTACTGTACATTTGAAATGGAAATGGATTGCGAGTACATTGAAGACTACTTTAAACGTGGCTTTTACAACACATGAAATACTTCACGTGGGATTGTGCAAACGCACCCTTGAAAGGATTTTAAGCATTGAACAAAGTTATTATAATAACTTGTCTTTGATATTTTCTTTAATAGTTTGATAGAGTAATGTGGGTTTCTTAACCCTAAATTAAAAGGATTTAAGTTATAATAACAGAAATGTGCTGAAATATAATTTTACATTTATATAACTGATGAGTTTGATACCCCTGGTTTAGAGAGTTAAGAAATTCACTCAATCACAATGTGCTCCCTAGTGGTCATTCAGAGGTATTGAGACAACCACACTGAGCCAGGATCAGCCACTCACCTCAGCTTTTTGTTGTGAAACAACTTTTAGGTTTTGATAGTCCGTGAGGGTGGGTATGAGCATTCAAGAAGAGACGTATATATGCAATCCGAGCAACCAGATAAGGTAAAGTCGTCCTGAACGTTGTGATTAGGCAACGATGACGTCGCTGTCGGGACGTCACAGAGCACAAAGTTCCTGTTCTCCGCCACCGTTATAAAGGAGGATGCTGGGAGAGGCTCAGTGTTAATGTCGGGCTTGTAGGGGGAGTGAGCTGGGACAGCACAGGAAGCTTATCTGGGTCAGCTACGCACCATGGGAAGCTGGCCCGTTTACCTTTTCTGTACACTACTGTGTGCCACTGGACTCTTTTACAGCCACGGTCGCATCCAGACAGAGGAATACAAAACTACATACTCAACTTATTTCACTACGACAGAGGACAGCAATGAAAAGCAGCTGGTGAGCTACACCTAATGGTCTCCCAATAAACAAGTACTGCTAGTGGGAATTCTTCAGAATGTTGTTTATTATTTCAAATTCGGACTGTATTCTAATATTCTAAATTTTCCATTTCAGATCAATGATTTGCATGGAGTTTTGGAAAGACTTCAGAACAATCAATTTCCAGCTCTAAGAAAAAAACATGGCTTTCTGCCTGTGGTACGTAATGCAACAACTCTATTTGGAATCCTCTCAATTCATAACATCAATCTAGTGAATCTCTTTAGAGAAATATGTTTACATATTTTCCTTGAGTCAATACCTTACTTTAGTATTAATTTGGCGGTCTATATTTTCAGTGTGATCCAGGAGACCAGTGTGCACTAAGGAAAGGCTCCAGAATTGGGAAACTATGTGACTGTTCTCTGCCGAGGACATGCAACTCTTTTCTACACCGCTGTTTGTGATTCTCACAAATCATCAACAAAATAACAGTAACCTATAAGCTTGTGATCTAGTTGTAAGTATTCCATTTTGTCCTGTGTTCTTGTTACTGGCCAATTGTACTATTCAATCATCTTCAAATTCAGCATTGATTGCTATTCTATTAAATGTGTAGTTGTGCGAGTTGTGTACTTGTATTTGTGTCAGTTGACCTGTACACTAGGTGCTCGCTTGGTCCACAGGGATTGGTTTTTGTCTTTAGGCGTAGCTACAAACAGGACAGGCAGAGACTCCCTGGAAGCCATGAAGTCATTCTTGATCTCTGTGTAGTCGGTGGCTGCACGTGACAGAGAGGTGAACAACAATCAAACTTGGTGTTGAAACAGTGACGCATACGAGCAGGATGTGTGTATAAAATGAGGTCGGGTGGGGTGGGGTGGGGGGGGGGGGGGGTGTTTGTGTGACACAGAGGGAAAGGGGGAGTGTGAGAGTGTGCTTGCCTGCAAGCTGGTTGTTGAGGTTGACAACCAGCGGGTTGTTCCTCCAGTCAAAGGAGGAGAGCAGATGAAGGAAACGAAGCAAGCCGACCTGAGGAGAACTGAGGAAGACAGAAATGAATTCACATGACCTATTGAACATACAAAAGGGACGATACAAACAATTCCATCCACAAATGAGTCTGATGAGATGGGCGGTAGTTACCCCGGAGGAGTAAAGGGTGCAGGCTGCAGGAAAAGCGACGCCACCAGCAAGTCTGCTGTGTCCTCTGTGATGTCTTCGCTGAAGAGCTGAGACCCCAGCCAGCGTTTGGCCAGGCGACACACTCCCCCGAAACATTGGTGCTGCTGCTGGAGCCTATCAACAACAGGATGACATGTATGAGATGAGGAAATGGTGAATGCAGGGCAAGCAAAATAATGAACAGGAAAGAGAAAAAAACATGGTGACAGAAAGGAAGGACAAAGGTTCGAGAAAGTAGGAGCATATAACCAAAAATGACTGTCTATAACTTTTATAACAGCAGCATATAGGGTTGAAAAGAGGGAACCCTGCTTTCCCACACAAACCCACAGATATTTGTGTTACTGTAATTTTACCCATGCAATGTGCTGGTAAGTAGAGGCTTATGCATGGTGGCCATCTCTAGAGCCTGAGCCTCCTCGTTGTCCCTTACAACCAGCAGCCCCTCTGCATTCACACTCTCCCTCAGCACCTGAGGCTCACGATGGTAGGCCACCTGGATGCGGAACACCAAGCCATCCTGGATGCATAAACAAATGGAATTAAAACAGCGTAAAAAAGAATACTGAAAACTGATTTTAAAAAAAACACTGGACCAACAATTTGCCTCAACATATAACGATACTTAGAAAGAAAAAAAACACAACAGCAACAAAAAAACAGTCAAGAACACAAACAAGTGTGCGACTTGTAAACTAACTCAAGAATATACCTTCCAGACATCTAGGTGAGTAGGGCAGGGCCTGCATGTATAATTATGATGCTTCTTCAGTAAGTCTCCCAGGCGGATGTGGAAGGCAGTTCGGATGTGGCGGATGGCAAATCGATCGTGAGGCCACTTTCCACTCCCTTCCATGTGACAAATCACTGCAAGAGCAGGGTCACCAGTGATATGAGTTTGAATAAATGGTTTTGATTAGTTTAATCTCTGTGGTTAGGTGGCTGTAGTGTTCCTGCTTTGAATACATGGGTTGTAATTCAGTCATTTAGCAATCGTAAAATCACCAGGTACATTGCAGAAAACAAGGGAAGTTGTGGTTCAGAAATAGTGTAAATTCATAAAACATTTTCTATGGCGGACAGTGCAGAAATTAAACAAGTGTAAAACGCTTCTTAACAAGTTGCTGGTGGTTAGTGTCACTGTTACCTGTGATAGGGGTGATATAAGCAGGGCAGGGTTTGCCTTCCTGTGGCACCAATGACCGGGAAGCCTTTTCTCTGTCAAAGAAGGAATAGTCCACCTTCAGTGGCACAGGGGGAAAGACCTGCAAGGTACAGATGAAATGTTAGAACTGCCATAAAGAAAAACAACCAAAGCACACAACACAGTGTAGTGATGTTTGAAATAATGCAATTGTTGTTATATTTTACAAACACTGCTACTAATCAGTGCAATAATGAGAGCAGTTACCTGTTAAGAACAAGAGGCCTTACCTGTGTGTATCTAAGTGCAGGGTGGGCTCCTTGCACTGCTGTGATGGAGAGAGGCAGACCTTCCAGCCTCCACAGTTTTCTACTCAGGTCATCATAGGACTGAACCACCAGTAAACTCCCCTCCTCTCCAGTACTGGGCACCTGAAGAGCACAATAGACATCAAACATACGCTGTAGTTACACATTAATATAGACTGTATTTTTTTAATTATTAAACAGCAACAATTTTGATTAAATAACAAGTAATAATAATAAAAACATTACAACATTCCAGGCCATAAAGCACAGAATATAAATGAAAAATGCCATTAATTAAATTCCAATAGGAACAAAAAATAAAACATATTATAAAATAATATTTCACAAAAGAATATTCACAACATAACACATAAAAAACGTTATTTATTTTAAATTAATCCCATCGACTTTATTTTGAATTTGACATTAAGAATAAATCCAGATTTGATCGCAACAATTTGGCATTTACCTCACTTCCCGTTTTGATGACGTCATCCACCATCGACCCCACATACCGCATACAGGATTCAGGGATATCTGCATGCCTGGTGGATAATAAATACATTAGTTTCTTTATAAAAACGAGGCTTCAACAAGTTCACACTTACACTCACCTCATTTTCAGTTATTGCATATACCGAGGTGAAATCGGCTTTTTATTAACCGAAAGAGCTTTTTTTGCGACGACAGTTGGCGCTAACATTAGCTAGCTTGCTAACGTTTTTTTACGTACTTTAACCAACTGCACGAAAAAAACAATGAAGCGTACGGGCAGGAGACGGAGCTCTGTGTGGGACTGTTTTGAACAAGTGGGGAACTTTGTCCGCTGCATGAAATGTGACGCCACATTGAAGTACTGCGGTGGAGCCACCAGCTCCATGATGAACCACATGAGCAGGCACCACCCGTCCACGGCGCCGTCAGACGAAGACGAGAAGCCGGTGATTTGCACCGTGCAGTGCATCGAGGAAGAGAGCGCCGCTAATTCGGACATCATGCAGGTCGCCATCATGTCACCCAACATGAACACGACCACCAACCTCTCCGAGCGGGACTACGGGGAGAGGAAGCGCCTGAAGAGGAGCTCTGTGTGGGACATTTTCATCAAAGTGGACGAGGAGGTGCATTGCACCATGTGCGACACCAAACTGAAATACAGGAGCAGCACCACCAGCATGATGTACCACATCAAAAACAAGCACCCCGACACTATGCCCAATGACGGCGGGTCAGTGGCAACACATGCAGAGGTGACTGAACTCATCTCCAGAATGATAGAGAAGGACATGCTTCCCATCAACGTGGTCAGTGGGGATGGTTTTCGTGAGCTACTTGCATACACTGTGCATCATTATAAAATCCCATCTGCTGCTGATATCACACGCCTTATTGAAGGCCACTTCCATGAGAAAGTGGAGGAGCTTGTAGTGCAGCTGGGGAAAGTGGAGAAATTGGCGCTCACTGCCGATTTGTGGACGGCCCTCCCATTTCAGCGGTACATCACAGTCTTCTGTTCGTTCATAACAGAGGACTGGCAGGGAAGGTCTGCTGTGCTGCAGACACACAAGCTGCCGTCAGACAGCCACACTACTACAGACAGTGTCACAGAGAGGCTCCTTAGCACGGTGCAGACCTGGGGTATTGCTGGGAAAGTGACTGCGTGTATTCATAACAGCACACGGGGCGTCTCTGCACCCCGCGCGTTTGTCCGCGTCACCTGGGACTATGCCACTTGCTTTGCCACTACACTGCAGTTAGCAGTCAGTGACGGGCTGAGTGAGGATCTAGTCCGCATCATCGTTGCCGCGGGGAAACTAGTCAAGCACTTCAACCAAGGTCTGCTGGCGAGTGATGCCTTGGAGCTGAAGCAAGTGCAGATGTGCCTGCCACAGCACAAGCTTATCCAGTCGTGCAAAGCTAGATGGGACACCATCTGCGATATGTTTGAACGGCTACTGGAGCAACGGTGGGCAATTAAAGCTGTGCTCTCTGATCGCACGATCACTAACAGACAGGAAGCCCAAACCCTCGAGATCGAAGATGATTGCTGGCAAATAATTGAGAATTTTACGCCCGTGCTGGCGACGCTGAAATGGGCAACAACAATCATATCCGCAGAAACAGAAGTGTCCATTTCAAACATTTACCCAATCACATTCAGCCTCATTCAGACGCACCTTGTGCCAAAAGAGAATGATGTTGAACAAGTCTCTGAGTTCAAGCTGAAGGTTCAGGATTCACTTAGAAATCACATGGAGGTAGGCATAAACATATCAATTTGGTTGAACAGATTGATGCTGAATAATATAAACATCCTTTTTTTTTTTTTAACATAACTATCACTTTCATTTGACTGTTTGCAGGTTGACTCTAACGACCTAGCGTCCAAACCAGCTCTGATTGCCTCTATGCTGGACCCTCGTCACAAACACCTCAGTTTCCTGACGCCAACAGGGAGACTGGCTGCAAAGGTTAAACTGCACGAACTGGTTTCAAAATTAGACGTGATAACTACGACTGTGGGCCCAAAGGAGGAACAGCAGGAGATCCTGGTCACACCTGAAATTAGCCAGGTGACAATGCCCTCGCAACTGAGAAGTGACACCAAAAACACCATGATGTTGCTCCTAGGAGACAACTACAGTTCCTCCTATGCCACAGACTCTGAAGCTCAGGTAGATTACTACTTGAGAGACATTGCTCCGTCACTGGACATAAACCCTCTTGAATGGTGGAGGTTGAATGGGCCGAGATTCCCCAAATTGGCCACTCTGGCGAGGCACTATTTGTGTGTACCTGGGGTATCACTGCCGTCTCTATTGTCAGAGGCCGGACAATCATTTGCAACAATGCGTACTAGATTGAGCCCAGAGCATGTTGACATGATGATCTTTGTAAACAGAAATGCATAACTTCCATGACAGCACATGATGGAGGTTTACTCCAACTTCCCATGCCAATAATAGTAAAAGGTTACAGAGGAGGAGGAGGAGGTGGTAGGTGCACGTTAAGTAGACATCTTGATTGGATGTTAAGATCAGAGGATGGGGAAGATAGCAGCTACTCTTCCACTGTTGTGTTGCATATGCTGATGTGAATAATGCTTTTTAATTTCAGTCAACAAAAAAGTTTGAAAGCTGAGCTGCAGTCAAATGCTTAACGTTAACTATACCTTAATGTAGTTTCCAACATTTAAACAGTGCTTTGCCTCAACACCTCACTTGACTTGACGGCTGGATTAAAACAGTGGACAGTGAGCCAATCGTAAAATGATGTTAGTAATATCCGAGTAAACACATTGCCACTATAAATCCTTGGTATTCAACATGAAACATCCGGCATACGCAAGCATCTAGTGGAGGCACCAGTGTAACCTTTACCTCAACACAGCTATTAACCTATACTTAGATTAGATATCTATACAATAGTCTACAAATCAGGATAAATGTCTGGAGGGATAAAACATCTCTGGTTTGTTCATTTGTTATCATGACAGCATACTAAATATTTGTATTAATACAGCTAGACACTCAGTGACCAAATCAACACTGTATTGTTAACAATATTAATGTGAAATCTGTCTCAGTATGCCGAGATAAAATACATACAGCTGTAGCAGGTGTGTTATGATCTGTCTGGGGACCAGTCTCTTTTGGCACATGCTCTCTCCGTCCCACAGCACCGCCTCGGTGATGGAGCCGTCCTGGAAGCGACGCAGCTCGGAGCGAGGACCCCACAGCTGACGAAACTCAGCCGCCTGGCAGAAGAACACCGCCGTTATTATTGAATCCCGACACAAGCGTGGTAACATATAAATGATAAAGTCAACAAAACAAATTCTGTACAGTCATGCGACAGGTTTGTCTCTCTTGCAAGTGACAAGAACAGCTGCAAATGCCTGCCATATCAAAAATATAAGTGTGTAATAATTACATAAATGCTGCATAATAGTATTACATTCTTAAAAATGTTTACAATCATATTAGATGAAGCATGTGAATATTTACATTTCAGGTCTTCACTAATCAAATACACTGTATGGAAAGTAGTAAGTACAAATGTGTTCCTTTGTAGAACTTTTAATATACTAATTATGTCGAGTTAGGTAAAATGACCTTGTATCTTCAATCGCGATAAAAAATAAAACCCGACACACATGCACAGGAAGGAGAGAGCGGTGATGTTACCGTGGGGCTGTCTGCAGCGGGGCCTCTTTCCAGGACAGAGGCCGCCAGCTCCGGACTTAGGAGCAAACCGAAGGAGAGAGGAGGTTGAGCTTTGTGTTTTGGGGCTTCACTCTCCACAGACCACTGTGATGAAACAAAAATGAAGAGAGTTCAACGAAAACAGTGATCTTAAGATTGTTAATCATACGTACGTGTGTTGTAAGACACGTTCAAAGTGGTTTGAGTCAAAAACATACTGTTATAGTAGCAGTATTACGGCAGGTTTGTTAACGGTAGCTTAGCAGAATCATGAAATGAAGCACTCAAAAGTCAGTGTTTACGTTCTGCTAGTGGAGCAAGCCAGACGTGGATGACTGTAACCTCTGAGTGTACGTCTTTCCTACCTCAGGGTCAGGCGAGAGGGAGTGGGTGAGCAGGTGGATCCTTTGGCCCAGTCCACGCTGAAGCAGGGACAAAATAAAAGGGAGTGCAGTGTGGACGTAATCTCCACTGTGGTCCATCAGCTCACTGAGGAGATTCATTTTCTTACAGCTGGACTGAAGCTTCACCAGCTCACACAACCTGAGTGGAGGATGAAATGCAGGATGAGAATGGGAAGTCAAAGACAGAGTGAAGGAGATCTGTTCTGAAAGGAAAAATAACTACTGTGATGTTACACTAGCAGTAGGATGTTTTTTCTTTCTAGTACCCTATTTATTACCCGACATTTGAGAAGGTGTATAAACTATCTTTAGCTGGAATCTGTAAAGGTGACGTGAACACGTGTCATGCTAAGTGGAAAATGATGTGTGTTGAAGAGGAGGTGTAAAACTAAGCTGCTAATGTAGTACACAACACAGGGACTGGATAACATGTTGTTTTGTTGCATTAGCTGATAAACAGAGCCTTACTGGAACACGTGGTCGCTTGTCCTGATCATGGGTTTGGGTGTCATGAGGAGGCTGTGGAAGCCGTCCACCGTAGGGTTGTCCCAGAACTGCATCGATACAGACGCCTCATGCTGCAGCTGAGAACCAATGCAATGAAAATGATAAAAACCTGCTGCTTAATCTCAGCAGTGTCAAAATAATCTAGTTTGAACTCACAGCACAACACTTTTACAGTATTTACCTGTTTGTAGGTACAAGCCGTCATGTCAGCACACATGTTGAGATGTCCTGACGGGTCAACAAACACGACCTGGAAAGCATCGTGGAACTCTGGAAGAGATGGCTGCAAGGAAAAGAAAAGAAAGGGAACAATAATTGATTGTTGAATAATTGATTGATTCATTTAGGAGGTAAACTAAAGGGTGAATAAACTACTTGAACAGACATAGACCACTCACAGCTGTAGAGTCAGGATCTCTGGCTAAGCTTATTCCATTCACTGTCAGGTCTGCAGATGCTGAGGGTTTGAATGAGAGGTGGGTAAGTTGCAACATATTCAAAAAAGTGATAAACAAATTTCTGTACGGCATCTTCCATTTATCAAATTGTGCTACACATTACCATTATTTAAAAAAACAATACTGTGGTTTAGCTGATTTAAATGTTCTTACCCAGGAAGTTCAAGCTGTTCCGAAGCAGCTGATAGGCTGTCATAGAGTTGCTGATTCTGTGAGTGGTCAGCAGATAAGCCAACATCATCGAAGCCAGGAAGCCATTAAAGCAACCAGTGCCCTATAACACATTGAGAGAGCAATACAGTGGTGAGGTGAGATAAACAGTGTCAGAAGACGAGTAAATAAATACAACGTAGCTCTGCAAGCAAAAGAACCCTTTCAAGCCTCCTACCTGGTCAAGCTCTCTTTGGCGAAGCCAGACTTTGAGCAAAGCCACTCCATCAGCAAAAGCTGAGCACTGGGAGCCGACGGCGGAAAGAAACTGGAGGTGAGCCCTGGGCAGCAAATCCCCCAGAACAGAGCTGTTGTAATGCGGAGTGGGGGGTCCGCTGCTCTCTGCAAACAAAAAAAACAAACAATAGAAATTGGTCTGATATTTTGATTGAGCCGTCGCCGAAAATGTGGTCCTGAATATACCTATGATCGAGTGATTAAAGGTGGACAATATTTGAAGAGCTAGGTGGATAAAATAACACTCTTACCACACTGGGAGGGCTGCAGTTCGCTGTACCACTCGGTCCGGATATTATTCCTCTGTGGGTGGAAACGGCTGGGCTTGAAGAATCCAGGAGGCGGACAGGCATGAACACGTAGGGTGAAGCTGGAAGAGTCTTTACCTGAGATACGGGACAACATCACAATCATAACCAAAACTAAATACTGCTAAACAAGCACATGCAAAGAAAATGAATTGCTGGTCAAATCCATGCAACGACAACAAAATACAATGCTCTTGAAGGTTGGCAGTTTGTGTACAAATACGATGTTAATTAAAAAAGGTAAATACCTGGAGGGGTAAGCAGCAGAACGGGTCGGAGTCGATTGCCATGAAGGCAGGCGTAACGCATGCTTCCGATGTCAGAGGAGGACGCCAGGTACTGGGCCAGGCCGGCCAGGTACAGAGCCCTTTTCCTCGGATACCTCTGGTTCAAGACGTCCTTTGGGTGGAGGACATCCTAATAACGCACGGATGAGCGGACAGAAGACACCGGAGTCTCTTACAATCTCGAGAATATATTGTCACCTTGCATTCAGCACATTGCTCTCGAGGCTTCAAGTGTTTTATTGAAATGAATAAAAGGTTGGCAGGTGACTTACAGCGGGGATTGTGACAGCCAGGTCCACCGTGACGCGTGGTTTGGTGCAGGTGCCCAGGGGGTAGCTGCCGATCAGATCAACAGAGGCAGGGGGTGCCATGTGGAACTTGCCTTTTGTTGTTTTGGGCACCAGGAGGAAAGGGACCTTGACTGCACTTGACAGCCATGACGGGTCACTCACCTGAACACATAGAGAGAAAAAGAAATGTGGTTACATGTTTATATCTGTGGAAAGCTGAAAGAACGAAATTGAGGTTCTATGCTTAATTATGACACTGTTCTTACAGATAAAGTGCTACATACCTCAACCTCTGGTGAATCTGGTACGGTCTGGAGCAGCTTGGTGACCGTCTGAATGAAGGCATCGATTTGCTGTTTCCTACGCTCACTCAGGGCGACCTCCTTCAGCAGCTCTTCCATCTGTTATTGGGGGTAGATCATAGACATTTACTAGAATGTGTGAAAGTGTGTTATTGTTTACATGGGACAACAAGCTGGACTTAAGGCATAACCAGCATTCCTTTTCATGTCCCCGTCTGTCCTCATGTCAGCAAGTCAAGATGTCTCACCTGCATTTTGAGCAGGCTGCAGTGAAACAGGCTCTCCGCCTCTTTCAGCTGGTTGAGCTCCTCTGCTGTGGGAGGTCTGTACAGATCACTTCGGGACAGCTTCACCGGGTGATAGACCTCCTCCTCCCCTCCGGCCTCCCCAGGTTTGCTCCTTTTGGCTTTAACCGGAACCTCGTCATCCTCCTCCTCCTGACCCTCAGAGGGAATCATCTGTAAAATAAAACATGTTGTAGCAGTTGAGTCAACTTTTAACGTGTCTTTTATTAAGTGTAAGGAATCAGATAATCAGCATTTGATATAAACCCTGGGCCAACTAAAAATGCTACTAGAGGGTTAATTCTGGTATTTGTCAAACAATTATATATTAAAAGTATTACTGACTGTATATGCTGTACATTCAGTTTCTCTTAAGTAGACATTAAGCAAAGTCTTGCCAATGGAACGTGCAGTTGGTAACGCATGCAAGCTACACCCGTGTTACTATCGAGTAGACTGTCCCGTGTGCTAACTAAGCGGCAGTTCGTCAGCAAGCAGCTAAAATAATAACACATGTCGCCAGTCTTACCTCTGCCGGCTCCTCAGCAACTGTCAGCTTCTTTTTCATGTCTGATATGCGTTCAATGTGATGATAATTCCGATATTTTTAAAGTTTTGATCAACACTGCTTTCTCTTCATTGCGCTCTCACATGTGCAAAGGGTCAGACAAACTTGCTACCAAAGGCAATAGTGCCCTGATTGGTGTAGAAGCGTCGCGGGTGAATGGTGATTGGTTCGCCGCTTCTTGACCCTCCTACCCAACCAGGCTTCAACAAGATAGGTTGCATGAGCAGTCTCCCGTGCGATTGGTGCTCTCTAGAGCCACTGGGACAAAAATGCTCATGCAGTAAAAAAAAAAAACACGTTTATTTATGAATGCTCGCTATAAAACAAATCCATCATCATATTTTTCAGTTTGTATTGCTATTTTTAATTCAAATCACGACACATCTTTGCCAGTTGTTTGCAGGAGCTGCAGATTAGTATTGCTGTGAGTGTGCATATAGTCTGTTGATACAGTAGCCCTGCAATAAATTGTCTCTTCATGAAAGTTATAATGTTACGATTTTGTTAGAAGTGTTGATTCAAATGTAGAATCATATTGGAGGATGTAGTCAGTGATGTTGTTGAACTTTACTGCATTATACACAGAGGTATTTCCGTTATTTAGCCTACCCTCATTGATATAAATGGGGTAGACCAAATAATAGAAACACCTGTCATTGAAGCATACCTACAGTAATGAACTGACTACATCTACTATATGGAGGCACAGAAAATGTATTTGTGAAATCATCATCGTGGGCAATCACTCACAGTCGAGTATGACTGTCATCCTGTTACTGAGATGGATTATTTGTGGGTCTTAACCAATCTTGGATCCACAGGGTTCTGTTGAAATGTGGGCAGTCGTGACCTATGTGGTATTCGTGGGTGGAGGAGCAGTTTCGATGGTCGTCCTCTCCTTTCTGTGTTGCCTTTTAGCTTCCATGGCACATTGGAGGTCCCTTTCTTGTTGCGCTGTGCCTTCAGAAGTCATCCTTCTCCCAAGGTTCCTGTCACAGGCAGGTTAAAGAGGCGTTTCCTCAGGTGGGATAGGGGGTTATATTTGTCCCCCTTGGGTTGGCTTCCCCTAGGCCAAAACACGATTTAGCCTCACAGTTATTGTTGAGCTTTGAATATGAAAAGCACAAAGACTTAAAATATTAATATTTAGTCTTAATAGTCCATAATCAAATGTCCTTGCTTCACAGTGTTGTAGTTTTTATATGAGGAACTATATCAAACTCTATGTTTGCAATATGTTGTGAAGCTTATAGGCTTTTCATATATTCTATAATTATCTTATTATTATGGCTAATTCTGCTCTAAATACAGCGACAGTCGTGTTATCACTACATTTTATAATCCATTGTCAGAGTTCTTGGTCTGAAACAAAGGGGTGACTTGAGGCGGTGGACCTGTGGTAACCTGATCAACTGAAAGCAGTGGCACGGCAACGTCACTTCGTATCAGCCTCAGCTTGGTAGACTTGGTAGGAGGGTTGCTTTTGAGAGGGTGTATTTCAACTGCCTGAGAATCCAAGAGAGAAACACCTTTGGCCAAAACCATTGTGTCCAGCCTCAGAGGCCCAGAGGACACCATCCGGTCATGTCTAGAGGGGGACAGTTTCTTCAGCCAGACATCTGCCGCATTTCCCCTCTGAAACTTTGTTGGCTGATCCTTGGAGCTGGTTAGTTGCTTCTGTGAGGCTGCTGTCCACTCAGTTTGCTGCTTGTTATATCTTGGTTCTGGTTTGGATAATCCACTTGGTTTCTTGGACTTAGGTTTTGTGTCGTTGTTATCCACAATCTCATACGGAGGAAAGATGCAGTGTCGAGGCAGGCAGGAGGGATCAAGCTTTTGTATCGGTTGGTAGCTCTTATGCTGATGTAATGATCCAGTTGTGTTGTTATAAACAGAATGTCTAACATTTTTTCCCTCTACATCCACATCCCTTTTCTCTGCTGAACACGATAGGAGCGGAAGTAATTTGCTTGGAACTGGCTTGGGAATTGGTGGTAAATTAACCCACTGCTTTTTCTTTCGATCAATTTTTGGTGGAGGCCGAGGGCTAAGCACTTCATAGCACTCGTAACTGACAGGCCTCCTGGGACGTGTTTCCTTTTCAGATTGCTTTGGAGAGCCTTTTGCTTGGACCATAGTATTACATTGCTGGTTGACTCTTGGCTCTGTTTGTACTGGGACCTGACCAATGTCATCTTCCTGTTAGAAACAAATATAGATATATAGATATAGATACAGATAACCTCTTGGTTGAAATCTGAAGAGACTTGCAGAAGAGTCAAATTAAGAGTACCTGTTGTGAGGCGGGGTGAGGTCGAGGAGTAGCATTTACAACAGGCACACATCCTTGAACCCAGGCATCTGAAGTTGGTGGCATAGGCTCGGAGTCTTCTGTTTTAGATGCTTCCTCGGGTCCTTCCCCTTCATCTAGGCACAGGATTTTCCGCTCTAGAATCTGTGTGAGGTAGCTCTTGGCCCAGGATGCGGACAAAGGTGCTATCTTGAGGGCAAAGACAGGAAACATCATGGATGTTGTACATATATTATGTGTGGTTGAAATGAATGACCGCAAGATAAATCATTGTATCGGTCTCTCCATGCGTGTCAATCAGTGAGATGATATTCACATTGAAGTGAAATAACAATAATCTTTTCAGTTTTACCTGTTTCTCAATGTACACTTTGAAACAACCGTCCATGAGCTTGCTCATCAGTTCCTCCATGATCTCCCCCACTGCCTCATCTGCATCCTCCCGGATCAACGTGTCCGTCCATTGGGCCTGAGTTAAGCAACCAGGGATAATATCCTCCACTTCCAGGTCTTGTATTGGAGGTGTGTTCACTTGGACAGACCTACGACTTCGGTTGTCAGCTTGGAACTTAACTGCAGAACGTGGCATCTTGGTTCAGAGGCTGGTTTGAAATATAAAAAGTAAATGTTAGAAAAAAACAAAACATGGGTGACAAGGACGTTGATGTATTAAGTGTGAAACATTAAACAATTTAACATGAAACAACGTCAGTCCCTATCAGTTTGCATGTTGCCGGAAATGTGGTGAACATTAGCACACTCTGGTGGTAGTGATCAAACTTGACAGTATGCATTTTTCCATGGGTACTTTGATATAAAAGTATAATTCCCTTAATACTTTCAGGAATTTAATTTGCATATAAACACAGTCCTCGTGCTAACAGTAATTCCTTTCAGAATACAAACAGTAAATTATATATGAGGCACAATATCTGAGAGGCACAGACTAAATCTACCAGTAAAATGCGTGAAAAGTCCTTAATTCCTATATTCTTTATACTAGCTAGTCTAAAACAAGTGATTTCACTGAATCAAGATGCCCCATTAGAATTTACGAATGTCTTAGCTAGTTTAACTAGACTTTAGTTAATGTTTTATTGGGTTGCTAGAAAACATTATGCAGTGATGTCTAATCAATAGCAATCAAAACAGGCAGTCACCATAGGATCACAAGCTTTCCAAAATAACAAACTGACAAACATATCTATGTAACGTTGAATAAGTAATTGTTTTACTTAGTACGTTTTTAGTGTGTATGATCGCAAGTATATGTTGTTATTGTGAAATATACCTTCCTATATTTATTTTACTATTCAACTTAAACGAATCATGTTAGTTAGCGTTAGGTTATTTAAAGTCGAGTGTCATTTTCGTCAGTCGGGTCTATTAGCTAACGTAACGTTAGATACACTTGACTGTTACTGGTATAGTTAACTATGTGTATCATTTACATTGAGGTAAGCTAACGGTAAATGAATATAGTTAAAACATCTACACATATCATTCGACCACAACATCACCGTTTTAAAACGTACTTCTTACAAATCATCACTGTCATATAATCTCAAATCTGTTTAAAATTTTACCAAACACTCTTCTTCTTCGTACCCTTTTTTTCCGTGTAGTCTACGGTTGCTCAGCAACCGAGGACGCAAGTATGACGTCTTACGTAGAAGTGGCGTTGTCTCTATGGCTGCGGACGACGCGGAGGTAATCTCGTTGCTAACAAGAGCTAGAACACTGCTTCGTTCCCGTTAACTGTATAGATACAATGGTCGATTATGACAGCGCCAATGGCTGCTGGGACACTTGTTATGCAGTCTGAAGCAGGAGCGTGTGCACGTTGTCACACAAACGCCACGTTATTGCAGTTGGCTTCTCGCTAACATACCTAGGTTGCGCTAGCTTGCTGCTAACATTGCACTAATTGTTACGGTACGTGGTTTTAATTAGCTACATTGCTAATCTTATTTAACCCGACTGTTGAGAGTGGTGACACCAACACCATATTCCCTATTGTCATTTCAACTAACCGTGCAGCTAAGAGAAGATAGCTCGATGTATCACAAAGAGAAGAGCATCCAGATCAAAAACAGCGCCTCGGCGCTGTACAACAACCTCGGCGTGCTACGCATCGCCCCTCGGCGCCTCACCTACTTCACGGTGGTCCATGCCAACGTGGTCAACATGGTCAGCGCGTCGTGGGACGGCCTCAACTATTCCCACCGTCAGCTGCAGTCCAAGGAGCCCAATGTCGCCACCAGCACGTCTCTCATCACGCAGGTCAGGCCACAGTGAAACGTGTGCAGTGTGTTCTTAATTTTGCACAGCGAGAGCAGGTGGGACGGGATGTCAGTGTGGTCCTAGAGGAACTTTCACAAGTCTCTAACAAGATCAAAAAGTGTGTATTATGACCCTTTTAAACATAGTGCCATAAGAAAGTTATACATTGAGATAAACAATTCATGTGAAGTCAGTGGCTACATTCTGTCACCCAAAGACATATGCAGACACTCTTCCTTGGAAGTAAGCAAAAGTCAGCACATAGTCATAGTCACTGTTTGATTATAATCCAATGTGTTAGAATACAGTGCTAAAACAATAAAAGTACCATATCACAAAGAGTTAAGAAAGCGTATGAAAACGTTATCCCTCTTCTTTAGGTTGCTGGCACATATACAATGAATAATGTCAACATCGTGTTTTGTCTTTTACTCTATATGCATTTCTCTGCATCATAAAAATATAGAAATCCTGTGTTTTCTTGGAACAGGCTGCTTTTTGTGCGCTGCCCTCTCGTGATCTGCTGGTGGTGACCTCTCAGAAAGGCATCCAGGTGAGATTTTGTTTATCTGCTCTTCTCTGCAGTCATCAGCAGTCTCCACATTTGCAGGAAGCACTGCTACTTCTGCAACTTGTATACTTATAGTGGAAGTGGTTGTATCAAGCCTGTATCTGTGGACTGTGTCATTGAGTGTTTTTTAAATGTGAACCTCAACAAAATAAATAATGCATGTTTTACTTTGATATGATATAAATCCATTGTTTTAGATGTATGAATCTGATGGCTCCATCATGGTGTACTGGCATGCCCTCGATACTCCAGAAACAACTACAGGTAAAGTTCCATATGAAATGGATTTGCTGCAAATGTGTCCTGTCTCAATTACTTCTATGAAAACTTTGAAAAGATTCAATACATTACATAAAGCAATACAATAACATATGATACACTGTGATAAGATACAATAGATTATGACACAAGTATACTCTCTTGTCCCCAGAAACATGTCGTTGTTGTTGATCCATCCTCATAACACAAACATGACTAAAACAGTGGGAGGACCTGATTATTACAATGAAATCAATTATTTTCAGGCATCTACACCTACATTATTATGCCTACATAATCACAAGTGGGTGTGAAGACATTGTACACGTGAACAAAATGCTTTTTTTGCCTGCACATTTACGCACATGTTCAAATGCATATTTGAGCAATCACGCATTTGTGTGCGAGAGAAACGTATTATTCAAGAGTTTCATACCAAATCTATTGCACTCACAGAACTCCTTTGTGTCCCAGCTCAAGCCGTGTTTGCTCGAGGAATATCAGCAGTGTGTGAGAGTTATATATGTGTGGGTAAGTAGTGAGTGGAATACATTTACGTATATTCAAAATAAAGGGCAAAACTCCACAGTCCATGTCGCTTTCTCTCTCTCTAGGCCTTTCAACTGGTGCAATTCTAGTATTTGATGTTCCCAGTAAAGGCAGTAATATTACCTTGTCGGATGTCATGGAGGGGCACAAGGAGTCCATCACTGACATGGCCTCAGAATGCTGTGGCGGCGAGGTATGGCGTTTGTGTGCTCATTCAGTGTGTGCATTGTCTGCTGTCTGTCTATTTCAACCTTTTTTGATATGGGTTAGCTATATATATGTATGTACATATAATCCACTCTGTTGCTGTCTCCCTCCCCTTAGGTGTGCATTGCTGATCTGGTCAGTGCAGATGATGGGGGCAACCTGTGTGTGTGGCAGTCTGGGGAGGAATTTAAGTTACTCAACCATATCCCTGGCTTTGAGTAAGAAGTTGATTGTATTATAGCGTTGTCAGTTTTGATGTACGATGTTAGATTTAGCTAAAATAAAGTACTTACAGAGCGACCTATTTTGAAACGCTGTCATCACCAATCTTAAACTCCTCTTACTCTTCATGCGTTGCTGTACTTATCTACTCTACATTATGTAACGTTCCACTGTCTTTCATGTCATTATTTCCCCATCTAGCTCTAATCTAATATCCATTATCTTTTCCCTTAATTCCCCGATGGCAATCATCCTCCATCTACCTGACTGCTCTCAGCATTAGCTGCTCATCTGTGAAGTTGTGGAAAGGTACAGTGGTGGCAGGTTACGGCACGGGCCAGATTCGTCTCTATGAGGCAGTGACGGGAATCCTGCATGCTGAGGTCAACGCCCACGCTCGCTGGATATACTCACTCGACATTGCTCCTTTTTCTGGGCTGGTGAGTTGTATAAACCGCATTCATTTTTTAAGCCTAGTGGGTTGGCATTTATTATTTGAAGGGGCAAACACAGATGACACAGAAGAAGGGATTCATAGATTTTCTCGATAAAGACAGTCAATAATAAGTTATTATTATTATTTATTTAGCTCTAACGTATGTTCAAGTGTATTTCAAATCATTTTTTGGAGCATATCTCATACCATTGATGATTGATTTTGCGTTTGATTTAGCTGCTGTCTGCTGCTGAGGACTCTCTGGTCAGGGTGTGGCACCTGACAATGACCCCAGAGAGCCACAGCGTGGAGGTAACTGGATCTAACAGAATACTACATTTATTTTCTTAATAATTTCAGAATAAAGGCACAATTTATGGTGGGTTCCTCCAGGTTTAACTTACACTTACTCTCACTGTGACCCTGACTGTGTGTTTTCCTCATTTCCTTTTAGATTGCCCATTTGTACAATGAGTGTGTGACGGACACGCAAATCTGTGGCGCCAAGTTCTGTGACGGCGATGGTTATGCCTTTGCAGTGACAGGCTATGACCTGAGTGAGATTATCCGTTACACACAGTCATAGGACTACATATAAGAATGTGAATTCGGTATATTGTGTTTCTGGAAAGATATCATGATCCAGAGAGAAGGGTCAAAAGGAAAGGGATATTTAATGTAATCGTTTTTAGGAGAGACATTGTTTTCACAGCCTTTCTGTCTCTATCTCTGTATCTACACGGTTTGAAGGAGATTAGCATATAACAACATATTTCAAAAGGAAAAAAATATATGTACAAATGTTTACATGTATGAGAATGTAGCTTTAAAAAGTTATAAATTATTCTATTTTTCCTTCTGACGTAATTATTGTTTCAAGCAGCTGTAGCAGTAAAGTTTATCAACAAAGCAGCTGTGTCTGGGTCGTCATTTTTCACTTCACAAATGCACCAATAGATGGGGCTGTGGATCAATTATCTTTGAGCAGGGCAGTGACAGGACAGCGCTAACAGATTTCATGAGAGGACAGAGTGGGGTCGCCTAAAAGGATAAAGGCTAAAGACAGACTATTTGAGAAACTCCACATTTTGGTTGGATACTGTGTGCAGAACACAAGACACAGACCACTCATGTCAAAACTGCAGAGGGAGGTCATAAACACGCTGTGTTCATTGTATTGACTACTTTCTCAGATAAGATAGACCTTTAGAGAAAGTAAAAGCAGTATTTGATAAGAGGTATATCATTATTAAAACTGAAATGATAGAATAGATAAGGAAAAAAGAGCTATATATATATACATACAAGAGCATATGGAGACAAAGATGGCAAGGTAAAGTGACGTGTGATATAATAGCAGCAGAGTCAGCAGGATTTGCCTCATAGCAAGAGTGTTTTTTCAAACTGTGTCTATGATGTATTCGTCACCCTTGCTTTCTGGTTACGCCTTAGTAAACAGGTATTTCAACGAAAGGTATTTTTATTTCCTGGAAAATAGCTTGAAGAACTAGAATGGCCTTTCTTGAAAACTAGTGCAAACTACTCACTACCATTATTTTTTTTCACAATTACTGTGCAGAACAACATACAATAGAGAACTTGGTCTGTTGAGACAAGCTGAATATACCTGTTATACAGGATACAAATCTTGCCAACTCAGCTGTAAAATCTGGTCTTGTCTATCACAGGTCATGTGAGTATTTTTTATGTTCACATCGGGCAACCAGGTATTGTAATCCGACCCACCTTATCACGACAAGATAAGAAGAATCAGGTCAGCATGAATTGTGTGCTGTTTGTCAGTTTAGGGCTAAGCGTGTATTAAATCCCCGAGTTCTAGTCTTTTCTGGTTTGCAGTCAACACTGGTCACATAACATCAACTGACAAGACTGTTTTGAGCCCACACACAAGGCAGGTTATGCAACTCAAATTTGGTAGGTACCACCTGACAGCCATGTTAATGCCGATGGCCTCGTCAATTGTGAAGGATAAACATGCACACAAAGTCTTCATGAAATCGATAATTGTCAGTATGTCATGTAGCATGCTTCCCAGCTGCCTGGAGGGAGATAACTAACTATACTGGCTGGAGAGGGTCAGTGGAGGACTAAACTGTCAATATGAGGTCCCAAATGACAGGGACACTGAGATTACATAACTAACTGGAACAGTAAGGAGGGAGGGAAAGGTTGGTCAAAAGTGATACATGAAATAAGCAAAGGATTGGAAGAGCAGAAGAGGTACAGAGCAAAGTAAAAGAGGTTTTTAGAGAAAGGGCCGAGAGTAGAGAAAGGGAATACAACATCACTTTTCACAGAAAAACAACAGCAGTCATTTATTCCTTGTTAACTAAGTCAATAGTTCTGTGCGACGCTCTAGTCCCGTACACAGCCGCGGGGCCACTCATGCTGTGTACTGCTACAATACTTGTCAATAGTCGGCTCTTTAGGTGTTACACGCAGCTGAGCACACAAAGTTGGGTATGAACTTTGCTCAGATATGAATATTTGGACTGTATAAGTATGCATGTGTGTACGTGCATGTGTGTCTAGTAATAATGGTAGTCGAGCAACATTCACTATCCTATTCCCCCAGTAGAAATCTTTTACTAATGGGAGTGAGTGAGACCTTCAATGAAAGGCCCCCAGTGGTGCCAAGACATTGTTTCGAAGTTTCACATTCTATTTTTATTAAAGCTGATTAACCAACAAGGAAAGTTTGTTCAGTGGACAATTGTACATGGGTATCGACGAAGCCTGGATCGTCAAACACCATGCCACAATACAAGTTCATCCATCAGGACCAGTTTCGTCCATATGTGTTGGTGGGTGTGGCAGGTATCTGTAGGTGTGTTTGTGAACACCACAACATGAATATCTTTCAGGCTGCTTGTTTAAATGTTTATTCATTATTCTGGTGGAGGAAGAGCAATTTATCCCATGCCCATCCAGCTTTGTGGCAGCTGCCTATAGGCCTGTGTTGCTAAGCCTACTGGGATGGAGCCTCACCACAGGGGATGAAGAGCCTAAAGCCTCTCCAGCCTGCTGCTACAGACAGACCAGCTCTCTGACGAGACAACCAGGAAACTAGCTCCTATAGACATGCTGTATAAATAGATCTTCCATATTAAACACACTGAAATGGGAAGCAAGGGGGGTACCACACACTGACAGATCTGAAAAACTGTCATTGCTGACTGACAGACCTACAGACATACAGGTGCAAAACCAGTCAAATAACATTTGCAAGTGATCATTCGTTTTTTCTGGCCACCTGGTAAATGCAAGTCCAATTTTCATTCTCAGCTCTGTTTTTGGTCTCTACCAACTCCTGAGGGAAATATCTGTCTCTTTAGCTGCTAAATTCTCCACCATGTTTCATGAGCAAGTAGCATAGGGGGAACTTTTAGAGCTTTTTTGCTGAAAACAGCTGCCAGCTGCAGCAGAAAACGACACCAGGAGCAATGAGACTAGTGATTTAAATCATTAAAGTTGCAGGCAGAGAAACAAAAAAACATGAGCTGAAACTTAAGCCAAAGGGAGCCGCAGATTCAAGCAACCGCTTTCACATATTGTTTTCACGCTGTCATTTGATTTTGCTGACATAAAAAGTTAAAATCATAGTTTTGTTTATTTCGTTTTTAATTGGGGCTATATTGTCATATTTGAAGTCAACGATAGTTACAATCAATAATCTTTTTCATATGTAGCTACTGTAAGAATTCTATGCAAGTGACATAGTCCAATGGTATGCAGCGCAATATATCAGGTGGAGCAGGTTAAAAAGATCAAGTGAAGGGTGTGTACATATTTGTGATTACATCATGGTGATTATGATAATTAGAATGTGACTGAAGTGGCCTGATGACTTGGATAGCTCATCCAGTGTGCAAACGTGCACCGATGACAGAAATGGGTTGATAGCAGTGCACTGGTTTAGCTCTGTTTTATTGCTATATTATAGTTAGGCCATGCCAACCCACCCACCGCCGAAGCCACAGCTTCAGTGCATCATCCGGCTGTACCATGGAAAACCCACACATGTCGTGGCAGGACAATCCACCCTTCCTGTTTATGTGGGCTTCTGATTTGGGGGAATATCTTAACATACAGTGCTGACTCACATATCCCAAATCTTCTCTGAAAATCACGGCTCAAGAGAAAACAAGTCGAGGCTTAAAACTAATCTGAAATTAATTAAAAGTTTTGCCATTTAACTAATTTTTTATTTTTAGGGTTCGAACATGTTCAGACAAGACGAGGCTTCTGATGAACCATGTGGAATGATGTGGAAGTATAACACTGTTGCATCAGAATTGCTTAGAATCAACATCGAGGACATGAGGCCATCCTTGACTCCAGGACTGATTGGTATTATTATGTCATTTAAGTTGTTAAAAAATGGGAAGTAAATACAGGGTTAAGTGCACACTGACCATTTAGTTCTAGACCATTTTACAGAAGCGAATAGTTGGTCCATCCTGACAGACAGACACACACACACACACACACACACACACACACACACACACACACACACACACACACACAAACCCGACTATATCCCCAGTAACGTCATTTCGACGGCATGGGTAGGCAATGGGACTTAAGTGCATCAGATTAGAATAAAATAAACATGATCATACCCTGCCATCTGCACTGGGATGGCATGGTTGCCTAGCACTAGGCACTGTTTGGATTGTCTAACGACGTCGATGTGCTGACGTTGGAGTGTGTGTTATGGTGCGTGTGTTTATGCCTATGTGTGTATGTGGCCAAATGTGCTGATGGCATCATTCAAATGATGATGGACTCATTTTCGAGACAGTCTTCCAAATAAAGTCAGTCTGCTCTCAGACTTGAATCAGTGTGTCTGTGTATGATTGCGTGTTTATGTTTGTGCATACGTATGTGTTTAGTTTTGCCAAATATTGAGTATTGTAATAATATGATTAGTAATAACACTGTAAAGAGATCTGGGATAACTTGTTTTCAAACTCTCCTTTTCAATAAAGGAGAGTTTCTCATCAAAATATTATATCTAATTGTAGGACAAAACTAGACCGGCATGCTTTGTGGTTTTTTTCCACTTAGAAAAAATATAATACAAGACAACAGCATGGTCAATTTTTTGATTTGTTTTGCTTCATGAAACTGATAAGAATGTGGTTTTAATTCTCATCACTCTATTTCTCGCAAATAAACACCCCTCCCATTACCTCTAGTGTGTGGGTGAGAGTTATTGAGTCTCAAAATAGAGCTGCAGCAATAATAACAGCAACATCCTGGCAACCCATATCATTGTGCTCTGTCAGTGAGACTGCTAATAGGGTTAATATGAAAGAGATGAATGGGTGTCTTCGGGGCGCAACCTGAATTTGAAATGCATAAACATTTCCATCAGGCATTGGGTTATATGTGTTCTATGCTTCTCTACACGGGCACATAGGAGTGTGTGTGTGTGTGTGTGTGTGTGTGTGTGCGTGTGTGTGTGTCAGTAAGAAAAAGAGAGAAAGAGAAATAAAGGCTTTATGAGTGGACCAACTTGGCATTCACCTCAGTGCGCACACAACATTGGTAATTGGCAGCCATGGAGAAAGCCCAGGCAAACTAACACTGCAGAAACGTCATACAGAGTTAACTGGTGCACCAATGTAAAAACAGATATGGAACCAATAGTCATTTTAATCATCTCAGTGTCAAGGTTGAGAAACCCTAACAGTACCACCACAGAGAGGGCAGCTTTATGAAGCACCTGCTGTGCTTCAACAGAGGGTCTTCAGTTCAGCTCTGGTGTGTGTGTGTGCCACGTGTGTGTGTGCGTGTGTGTGCATATGTGTGTTAGTGGTTGGATTGGAGTTCATTAATCAAAGCAACATTTGTTCTTGCAAGTCAAGCAAAGCTCCATCAGTCCAAGGCAGAAACAAAAATGGATCTACTTAAAATGTCAAATTCTTTCTTTAAAGACGGTGGGACTTGTGTCATCATGGTCAGGGAAGCTCTAGTTCAACTGCATGCTTTTCATTCATTGTTGTTTGGGT